ATTGGCCGGTGAATGTTGGAAGAGCAATTTGGTTTTCACGATGTTCAATGACAGGCTAAGCTTCTCGTATGCTTCTGCAAAGGTGTTTAGAGTATTTGTGTATGTATCTTTTTGTGAGTGTGTATTCCTTTCCTACGTGATCAAAGTGTTATACAATCTGTAATTTTTAATAATTCCACTGTATATTAGAGCATAATTTCTATCCCTTTATGGCAGATAAATGGCAGAGAACCTTGCATAAGGCTACCTAGTCCGTACGTGTCTGAAATGATATTTTTGCCAGAATTTTTTGGCTCATAATCTATCCTTCAGCTGCTGCAATGTTCCTCATTGCTCTGACAGGGTACGGGTGGTAGCGCTTCTGTTTAAGTGCCAGTTCACATGGCTATGGGAGAATGGCTTCACATTGCCAGCATCTTCATAACATCCAGTTAGAACAAGCATAGTTATATGGCCTTTGGCTTTCAATGTTTCAATTCTAGAATCCATATTGAAGATCAGTATATGACCTTCCTACTTTTTTTTAATCTATTACATCCTCTTTTTTCTGTTGTCTTGGTTTTTTATCCTTCTTTCTAAAAATAACAAGAAAATAGAGATGGTCCTGGTACAACATGTCCTAGACTTGTGTACAACCTGAGTCGAAGACTAATGCAATAAGCAGCAATCTTCTGTGATTCATTCAAATGACACTTATGTCCCAATGCTATCACTCTCATCCCTCCAACCACTGCTGTAAAAACTGATTCTCTGAGTATAGCATATTATTTTAAACATTTACTGAGCAAAATCCATTGTGGTTTGGCAGCCAAAGTGTTGAACTGGGACTTGTGAAATTCAAATCTCCATTGATAACAAAGCCCACTCGATGACCTTGGCTGTGTCACAATCTATATCATCATGACCTATCCTCAGTTGTGAGAGTAACATGAAGATAAGGAAAACCATGAGCACTCTTCTGATTTTAACAGAGGAAAGGCAGTATATAAATGCAAAAAAGACAGTTTTTAACACATGCCAAGCTTTTTAGGGAACATAAGAGGTTGAGATTCTCAGTTAGGATTCTACATGTAACAAGGCCTTCCTCTATTGCAGTGGTTCTCAACCTGTGGGTTCCCAGATGTTTTGGTCTTCACCTCCCAGAAATCCCAACAGCTGATAAACTGGCTGGGATTTCTGAGGGTTGTAGGCCAAAACGCGTGGGACCCACAGGTTGAGAACCGCTGCTCTATTCAATTGTTTGCAATGCAATGCTTTGCACACCAGAACTGCTCTTCTTTGGGGTACATGAATCTTTACTTGTCTCCTAGAATCCTCTAATCAGTTTTTCTCTTTGGTTCCTGAACCAAGAGGTATCTGCTGATGACTGTCATCCAAAAAGAGAACTTGTTGGAGGTTATTCAGTAACAGTGAACCAAAGAGACAAAATATGCTGGAAAATAATTAAAGCATTTCAGAGTCAGTTAACAATGTTTTGGGTTGAAAATCCCAAAATGCATCCATACGGTTCCTGTGCAGTTCTTGTGTATTTCCATAATGTCTGGGCTGGAGAACCTGCAAGTGGATTTTACCTACAGAATCACAGAACTGTAGTGCTGAAAGGGATCAGAAGGAATCCCTGCTGATCTGAAGAGGCCGTAATTAAAGCAACCCTGACAGATAGTCCTTTGTTTTAAAAGCATACAACGAAGGATAGTGTGTCCCACCTTTCAAGATAATCCCTCACATTTAGTCAAAATTGCATGTAGGCACACACGTACAGTATATATTCTCATACTGAGTACATCTTAAAGGCTACTGCACAAGAAAGCATCCTGCCCTTTCTTTGGTGATCAGGGCTGCCTCAGAAAAACCCAGATATAAACAATTACTCAGCTAGGTCATCTTTCTTGGTTAAGAAGGAGCCTAATGCACACAGCAAGAACAAAAATATCACAAACATAGAAGGAAAAAACAGTTTACATTGGAAGGAAACCCTTTAGGGCAGCTTCATTTTTGCAGAGCTTGATCCCATGGGGTCCTAGTATGTTTGGCAAGAAAAAGGCCAGACATGCTAGATGCAGGTTTTCCCATAGGACTTTTTAAAGCAAGCAAATAATTTCATCTCTCTCATCATTTGAGCTTTTTTTTTTTTGTTGTGAAATGGCTCTTGTCTTTGTCTCACATCCTATCTAAAGATTCATTTTTTTTCAGTTTGGAAGAGGGAAAATAAGTGATGTTTAGGAGAGTAGGAAAACACTTAAGTAATAGAAAAGAGTGGTCTTCTTGTACCAAAATTCCTTGGGAGTTTAAAAAAAAAAGGGGGGGGGGAAATCCTGCCTTGATTCTTTATTATATATGACTCACTCGGAACAAAACACAGATGATAATATGCATGTTTTGCAAGATCGGGGAAAAGTACAGGGAGAACCGTCTCTCTCCTTGGAGAACTGGTTGCTACCAACAAGTCAATAAAATGATAGAACAGTGATTCCCAAAGTGGGCATTACCTCCCCCTGGTGGGTGCTGCAGCGATTGGGGGGGGGGAATGGCCACAGGTACATTTGGGGGCAATGAATAACTGTAAGGTGGTGGTGAAAGCATAAAAGAAAGAAGAGAAGATTTAGAAAAATTGATTTCCAGGGGGTAGGCCAAATAAGTTTGGGAACCACTGTGATAGGTCAAAATCAAAGCAATATTCTTTGTTCTTTTCCACAAGGTTGGTAGTGGTGGAGATATCATCTCTACGAGTGGCTGTGAGTTTTCCGGGCTGTATGGCCATGTTCCAGAAGCATTATCTCCTGATGTTTTGCCCACGTCTGTGGCAGGCATCCTCGGGGGTTATTTATTTATCGTGTCAGGAGCAAGCCAAACAGTTGTACTGCATTTTTAAATAAACAAACAAAACACAAAGTTTGCAAATTTGGTAGTTGATTAAATGTCCTCGACCAGTAGCTGGCCACTTGGAGTGCCTCTGGGTTACTATAAGAAGGTCCTCCATTGTGCATGTAGCAGGGCTCAGGTTGCATCGCAGCAGATGGTTATGAGGTCACGAAAGCCTTCGACAACACATCTCTTTGGGTGTTATAATGCACTGTTAACAGGAAAAGCCATTGTAGCTTGTCTTTTTCTTCTTAAGGGATCTTTTGTAGAAAGAAAAAGAAAGCAGAGGAAGCAGAAAGCTAACCGGATGGCTACACCTGGAAAGCAGTGCTCTCCAGGTGTACCTCCTGCAAAATTTTCAGAATTTGTGTGTCATTAATGATGACTCTTGCACAAGTCTTAAGCAATGGTAGACAAAATGTCTTCTACCCACTTTCTCCATTACATTTCACTTGTTAAAGTATTTCCATTAGTAGCACACACCCAAAATTTTTAAAAAACTCAGGTGGTTTGTTTTCAATTTTTGGAAAGATACTTCAGAACTCTATTTGATTTTGGTTATGAAAAAAATTGGCAACAGTAAAAGATTTTGGACATTTACCCAAATCTGTGAGCAACAATGTGACGGCGTGAGTGGCGCCACCTATGTATAGAACTGTTAGTTGTAAGATTGTATCATGCTTAATCCTGCCCCTTTTTACCCTGCTTATGTATAGTTGTATGGATTGGTTGCTTGTAGCTGTCAATCAGTACTGTTTGGCTCCACCTCTTCCTGCAGGAGGGGAGAGCTTCCTTTTTCTTCTTCATTCTGCCATCAGAGTTCATACGATATGGACGTGAGTAAAAGACTTGATTCTAAAGGACCCTGATTTAAGTTACCTCTTAGCACCAGTTCTGATGGTTTTTTTACCCTTGGGACTCATGCTTTATGTCCAGATCGTCCTGGACAATCATTGAGGAGACCCAAGCGCCTTCAAGCCGGTTCTTTTGGCACCAAAGGAAGATCCTGAATCTTCAAAACATAGGCCATCTGAACTGGGGTTGTGGTTTGATCCGGCATTCACAGCCATTGAGGAAAGAGAAATCTTGGTGAGGCTTCTCAGCTTCAAACCCCTTGGACCCAGGACTAATTGAGACTGTAACGTATGTTTTCCTTCAGCCCTCTAAAGTTTTCCAGCTCATTGCTTTGAAGAAATGACTTTGTGATAAAACATATCTTGAGCTATTTACAGCGTTTTGGGTTTTTGGGAGTTCCAGTTTCCTATAGGAGGGCAAGAAGCAATCCCTTGGGGGAAAGGTGCCACATCCATCCCTCCTTCATTAAGACTAATAGCACCCAAGCGCGACGGCACAAACAATGTGCAGTGTTTACAGAGAAAATGCTTCTGCTGTACTTCATAAAAAGAAATTCATCCTGTTCAGCAAGTCTTGCAAATGCTGATTTAGTATCAGTAAATGTTTGATTTTTATATCTATTTTTAATGCCTATATTCTTAGGGTTGTGTAAAAATTTCTCAGGTGGAAAGGGATCGTGTTAGAAAAAGTTTAAGATTTGACAATATCTCTTTCCACTTACGTTTAATTTAATTTATTACACATTCTACTTGGGAAAAAATGGAACAATGACATGACATGTTTCTACAATAAATTTATCACAGTCAAGATAAAGAATTCATTCATGTTCCACAATCACTTAGCCAAACATTGTCATTATGTAGTGAACAGATTAAATGCCAGATGAAGAAAATAAGAACTCAAATCCCCACTTGGTTATGAAACTGAGTGACCTTATGCCAGCCATCATTTTCAGACTAATCTACCTTGCAGAAGTGCTGTAAAGTGTGGGGAGACACAGAAAAAAAAGAAGAAAGTGCCTGCCTTTGTGATGGTGCACTGGTTTCTGGATCACTCTATGCAAATATAAAATGTCAGTTAACCTTCTGAACAAAATACAAGAGATTATGAATATATTCGCAAGCCATGCAGTTATGTTCAAATCTGTTTTTTTTTTCATTTACGTATCAAGAGCTACTACAGATGAAAATGCAATATACACACCGTGAAGGATGCAGCCGAACATCAAATGCACTGGCTGCTTTTGCTAATCCATTCTTTTTCACAACATGTCTTTGGCTTACCTGCTTTATGCACTGCAGCCGATCGTTGGTCTGCTGTATGTGCCTGTCCATAGAATTCATTTTGATTGTCTCCACTTGGATTCTACCTGAAAGCCATTAAAATCTTTCACGCTGCAAGATAAAAAGAAAGGAAGAAAAAGATCAACCTCTAAGAAGAAAATCGTAAAATTTAATCCAGCAAAGCCTATAATGCATGTGATCCTAAATATGGCACTGTAACTATATATCCAGAAACCACACAACACCCCAACTATTTAGCCTTTGTGGTAGGAAATTCCTTCTAGAAAAAGAAGAGGCATGTGCTCTTGAAAACAAATGCTTTTTCCTTTCTTAAGTAATCATAATATTCCAAGGTCACATAACACCAGGGCAGAATGATACCTAAGCCTATTGTACACTAGGTTTAACATGGCATCTTCCTGTTCTCTCATCAACATAATTTACAATGCAATTCCAGCAGCAAGACTTCTTATTTTCTTCTACTCCTTCTTACAAACTTTGATTCTAGATGTTTCAGTGCTTGCATTAAAAAGAGAGAAGAAAATGACAACCTCTTATTTTCACAGGTGGACTGTCATTGTTGAGTTTTCAAATACTTACAAAAATTGTTGATGTCTATCAGATTTCCCATACTCATTATGATATCCATAATATAAAATTTTAGCTATACAAAAAGAGCAAACATTTGCAGCTACAAGAGGATGCAACGTCCCGTATATACTCGAGTATAAGCCAACCTGAATATAATCCAAACCACTTAATTTTACCACAAAAAAACTGGGAAAACGGATTGACTCAAGTATAAGCCGAGGGTGGGAAATTCAGCAGCTACTGGTACATTTCGAAATGAAAATAGATGCCAATAACATTTAATTCATTGAGGCATCAGTAGGTTAAATGGTTTGGAGTATTTATATAAAATTGTAATTTAAGATAAGACTGCCCTAACCTTCTTCAATGTAAATGTCCTTACGTATTCTTCCAATAATAGTAAGGACAGTAAAATAATACATGTAATAATAACAATCTTAAATAGCGTAAAATAATAAATGTAATGATAATAATAAAGTAACCCTAATAATAATAAATAGAATAAAATAATATGTGTAATAAAAATAATAGTAATGACAGAGTAAAATAATAAATAACCTTGACTCAAGTATAAGCCGAGGTGGACTTTTTCAGCCTAAAACAAGGGTTGAAAAACTCAGCTTATACTCGAGTATATAGAGTATATTTTTTTTTCTCCATCTGGATTCAAATATAATTTGAATTGTTTGTAATTCTTGTTTGTAATTCAGGAAGTCCCTGAATTACAAACAAGATAGGTTCTCTCTGTTTGTTCTCAAGTTGAATTTGTCTGTAAGTTGGAATAAGTACATTTATAAAGTGTAACTCCAGGTTTAAAAAAGTTTTTTTGAATAGCATAGGGAAGGGTTAACACTCTTGTGGCGTTTGATTTGCTATCTGTGCCCCTGTTCAGAAGATATCACCTCATTTTCTGTCCCTGTGAGAATTTGATTTTAAAACAGTAGATTTGTTGTGGAAACAAGGATTGGTGATAAAGGTTTGGCTGAGACACCTTTTTCCCATGATTACTTTTCCAGGAGTGAATTTCTCTTCGTAGGGATAGATTTCCTCTAATTTCCTATTGTTTCACTCCTATTTGTAACTACAGTAGGAGTTGTATGCAAATTGGATGTTTGTACATTGGGGACTACCTCTTTATGGATAGCTATAAACATAAGGGTTCAAACATTCAAACCTATTCAAGGTGGAAACTCTGGACGTTCCTGGGTGACCCATTAAGAGGTACATATCTCCATGCATGACCAATATAACTGAAGAGATGAATGTGTGTCAGGAGCAGCAACCACAAATATCCTGTACTGATCAAGTGCAAGGGACAACACTTTTTTAAGGCACTAGTCAAGACTGGAAATGGCCCTTCTGCACCGCACCTTGTTCATAAAATTGTCTACCACAGTGCTGTCTACTTCTACTGGCAATAGTTTCAGGTTACGCAGTGAAGTTTTTCTCATTTTTAACTGGATATCCTATGGACTGAGTCTGACATTGACAATGCATGCTGTTATCAGTGAACTGGACATCACCAAAATTATTAAACTACTTACTGCTTCCATAGGCTTCTGCATTCAAACCCGAACAATAACTTAAATGTCATTTTGCAAGCCCTAAGTTATGTCCTCCTCATCAGTGATGAATATCAGAATGCAACAGCCGGGTAGATCTCCCCACATACACTGTCAGGAGGCATGTACGGTATATGTTTTTGTGCCTTCAACTGCCTTTAGCGAGTGAAGACATATTCCATATTTTGTCTGTTCCAACTACAGTTCCGTCCTCATGATGCACTTTCTCCCTGCCCTCAATGAAGATCTAACCCCACTGTTTGCCCTTTTTGAGCTCCTCCCTCAGAAACACATTCTTCGACTACTTATCTCATCCAGAGTTTTATCAATTTTATCCTGTGCATTTGGCCCGCCCATTGGGTCCTATTTCTCTATTATATTATTTAGTAACTGTTTATTTTATTTTGTTGCTAGCCGTCCCCTGCCACGTGTTGCTGTAGCCCAGTCTGTGTATATGTGTTTTGTATGTTTACGTTATGTATATATGTGTGTGTGTATATTTGTGTGTATGTGTGTTTGCATATGTGTGTGGTTTTGTGCATATGTTGTAATGTATTTTTTTTTTGGCTTTTTAAATCCCTTATGCTGTGTTTTTCAGTGTTTTTATGAGTGATGGTGACTTGTTGGCCTGATACGTGTCTTGTGTCCAAATTTGCCATCAATTCATCCAGTGGTTTTTGAGTTATGTTAATCCCACAAATGAACATTACATTTTTATTAATATAGATTTCATGTATTTTATTTTGATGTTATTTTTGCTTCTTTGTATTTTATTTTGTTGGACTGTAATTTTGGGCTTGGTCTCATGTTAGCAACTCCAAGTCACCTTTGGGGAGATGGTGGTGGGGTACAAATAAAGATGATGATGATGATGATGATGATGATGATGATAATAATAATTATTATCAACTTAATTTGAACCCATTCATTTCATAGAGGTGGTTTTGCCAGTTTCTTCCACTCACAGCACCTGGTATTAGTTGGTGATCTCCCATTGAAGTACTAACCAGAACTGACCCTACTTAACTTCTAAGATCAGATAGGATCTGGTGCCATTAGGATATTTATATAGAGCAGTTGCTAATAATGCTTCTCAAATGGCTTCTGATGTCATAAGACTTCAGAGAAAGTAATCTCTCTCTGTTGAGTGAGGTCATATGATGGCAGTGCAGGCTCCCTTCTCTATACTTCAGGCACAAGAGGGTTTAATAATTCCTGTCTATGAATTATAATGCTTTGTGAAATAAAAAAAGGCCCATTTCATATATACAAACATTATTGTTAGTCTATGCAAGCACCAGCTTCTCAAATAGCAAATGCTATCCAAGGACCTTTTTGAAAATGCCAGTTGATAAAATGCTCACTTGCAACATAGACATACTTCCGTTTGTTTACAGAATCTTCAAACAATCTCAAAGTTTAATCTTTCACCAGCAGAATTTACTCGTGTGATAAGCTAACTCAGACACAACACCTTTTTCAGCAATGATCCATCTTAAATGCCACAAAATACTCTCTGCATTTTAATTGTTCATGGGTAGGCAATATAAAGTGAAATCAGAGTGCATAGCTTAACAAAATATACTATATTGAATACACAGCATCAGTCACTTCACATAGGGATGCTACGAGGTACAACTCAAAGGAGAGGGTTAGGCAAAGTCCAGCAATATCTGCCAAGAATCCTACCAGTGGCTTCTCCCAACTCTCGCATGTCATGCCTCCGTCATAGATCCAGTTTTAATCAAACCTCAAGGAACCTACATAATTCTTTAGATCCTCTCTGTTTGTGTGCTTTCAAGTCACTGACGGACTTATGGTGATATTAGACCGTCAGAATGAAAACTACAGAGGACTCACGATTGTGCATAAGAGAGAATTTCAGCAGATGCTGCTTGTTACCAAGTTGCATGATAAGTAAAACCTTCTGAAATTGTATACAACCATTTTTTGTCATGTCAGGAGCAACTTGAGAAACTGCAAGTCGCTTCTGGTGTGAGAGAATTGGCCGTCTGCAAGGACGTTGCCCAGGGGATGCCCAGATAATTTGATGTTTTTATCATCCTTGTGGGAGGCTTCTCTCATGTCACCGTATGAGGAGCTGGAGTTGATAGAGGGAGCTCATCCGCCTCTCCCCGGATTCGAACTTGCGACGTGTCGGTCTTCAGTCCTGCCGGCACAGGGGTTTAACCAACTGTGCCACCGGGGGCTCCTTATACAACCATTAAAAGTACAGGAGTCACCTCCAGTTTTCAACCTAGCAACCCTAGACAAATTGCACAGGATTTTTTTTAGGTTGGTTCTTGTTTTCATCTGAAAACTGTCCCATAGTCCCTGGTATCCCTTAATACCCCCAATCCAGATACCACCCACACCTGACCCTTGCTGTCTCAATTTACCAAAAAAATATAAAGTAATAAATACAGTGTCTCACATATTAAAGCCTCTTATTTCTTTCCTGGAGTAAAAGTCAGCAAAAGGAATCTTGAGCAGGAAACAGAATAGCTTTACCCTTCATTTTGTGAGTAATGTTTATCCTTTCTTTCACCCTCTATCTCAAATTCTTCCTTCTCTTAAAATGATAATTGCCTCTGGTCAAAACGCAGTGAGCACTTTCAGAAAGCCTTATTTCACTCAATGCTGTCCATTGCTGTCACCCAAAATTATCAGGCATCTCCTACTAGCAGCAGATTACGGGGCCAAGGAAACTATAGAGTAATTCAACATACACGAGAAAATGATTAAGAGTTAGCAGTTATAATCAAAAAAGGAAGAGTGTGAACAAATATTATACAGAAGTTTATCCGACTTGGATAGCAAGGAATACTTCAGTATCTGCAACACTGGAAACTTAGCTCCATGTTTGCATCATTAATGAAAACATCTGTAGTAGGAATGGAGAGGATGGTATAAAAACTTTATAATTAAAAGAAAGACCAATCTAGTCACTAATTTAAT